GACTGCCAGCTTAGGCCCAATCCCCCAGGGAGCGGGCCTAAGCCAGCAGGTGGTCATCTCCCGAGGGGTCCCAGACTGCGAGAGGGCACAGGCCGGGCTGAGGGACCCCCCCATGTGCACAGATTTTTGTGCACCGGGCCTCTAGTTAAATACATGTTGGAGAAGAAAGATTTTTAAAACTCAGAATCAACGTGCTAATGTATCATCCACACACCAGTTGTTCATACCATCGGTCATGACCTTTATATTCTTCAGTGTCCTTGAGTCTGGAGAAAACAGCACTCTGTTTTTTTTTCAGAATAAAACCTTGAACACAATTTCAACATATGCAGGTTAAGATAATAACATGGGATTCTTTTCATCAAATCGACAGATTTCATAACCATGGAAGTCCTTGAGAAAGTTTACTACTAAAATCTACGAGGTGATGGAGGAAAGACAACCAGTGTTTAGCAATAAGTTTTGCATGGCCTTAAAAACAAAGAGGAACAACCTGCCTTTTGTTAGTTTTTACTCTATTAATCCATTGTATGCCATAAGTGTCTGTAGACGCAAGAGGCAGACCTTCCCCACGTGCCGCGCGTGTCTATAAAAAAAAAATGTTGCCTGGCCGGCGTGGCTCAGTGGTTGAGCATCAATCTATGAACTGGGAGGTCATAGTTCAATTCCTGGTCGCACATGCCTTGTGGGCTTGATCTTCAGTGTAGGGCATGCAGGAGGCAGCAGATCAGTGATTCTCTCTCATCACTGATGTTTCTATCTCTCCCTCTCCCTTCCTCTCTGAAATCAATAAAAACATATTTTTAAAAAAATGTTTTCCCTAAGTGGCGGTCCTGACCAACTTTAAAATAATTTTTCATGAGACTTTTTAGCTGAATATATTCAAGAACACCTGAATTGTAAGTAATATATTTATTTTTATAATATTCATTACGAATTGATTTTTTAAATTAAATTCAAAATATCGTGGCATGTGGGGATGGTTTCCATTTTGGATGCATGGTAGTTAACTGGTTAAAAAAATTCAGCAATCCCAAAGAGGAAAAAAAGGCCTTATCTCCTTGAAGCTCCAGATAAAGGGGAAAGGACCACTTTCCCTGAACCAAGGACTTATATGCCTTCCTCTGCTTAGTGAATTGAGAAGGACAGTGTGGTTTCATGGAAAATGCCTGGTCCTATGAGTCAAATCTAGTTTGAATGTGGCACTTGGAGGAGGTTATGTATTTATTTTATTTTTAAAAAATTTTAATGCTTTTAATCTATGACTATACCTTCTTAATGCTACATCAGAAGTTGATTCATCATAAGCAAGAGAGATCCAGCATTTTATTGGGACTGCACAATTAAGCACAGTACTAGGCATTATGATTCTAGAACAAAAATAAAAATACACAAAAGTGGTATAGTGAGGAGCTTATGCATTTAAATTCATTGCTTCAGGCCTGCTAGGGTCTGGGTCATTTTCCAGTGGAATATCCAGATACCTGATACTTCTTACCACTGTTTTGCTGCCAAAGGAAGAACACTCTATCTTAAGCCAATTGTGGCTACTTCTGGGCTGTGTGTAGATGTGGGCATACCCACACACCATTATTATAACTATTCCAGACAGCTTTCATCTGATCCTACTTTGAAACAGACACACCTGTGGTAAAAATAAAAATTAGAGAGTTTCTAGGGATTGCCCCAATTCCGGGGTTTCTTGACACCTTTAGACCCTCTCTGCAGATGGACTACAGGCATTTAGTCTACAAACTTACATCTAGCCCAGCATTTGTCTGTTATAACCACAATGTTTCTCCATTCCCAAATATATCTGTACATTCATACATGCATTTTATTCATTCAACATGAGTTGATTAAGAACCTACTATATGTCAAATATATGTTTATCATGACTAGTAAGCAGAGGTATATAAATTAAAATGTGGTATATTTTACCCCTAACAATTAAAAAAAAGAAACCTTTACCTCAAAATATTCAGGTACTGACAGATTATAATGAAATTGGCACATTCTTTTTGAAAACTTTGGAAATAAGCGTTAAAAGAGTGAGGAAAATGTTCATACCTCTTGACCCAGTAATGTTATTCCTAGCAATCTATTCTAATGAAATAAACCAATTCTGCCCTCAAAAAATTCATATCTCTGAGGTAAGACAGCAATAATTAGAGCTGAAAGCTAAAGAAGGGCGATTTTCAAAGAAAATTCTTCGAAGGAAGATTAATGAGGGATTAACGCTATTATATATTAAACATACAAAACTAGAATAATGAAAACATTGGTACCACGGGTATACGTTATGACATGATATTCTAGTAAACTCCCTAAAGAGATGGTTATATATGAGAATTCAATCTAGTATAAAGCATGTGTTGCAAGTGAATGGGAGTAGAAAGGATTGTTCAGTAAATGATGTTGTGACAGCTCAAAGCATTTATACTCTCATCTCCTGTAATAAACTAAAATAAGTGGCAGCTGGATTGAAGAGTTAAATATATAAAAGCAAATTTTAAAAAACTAGAGAATTAATGTTTGTCAAGCCTCTGAAGGGGAATAGTTTTCTAAGCTTTAGGAAATAATAGAAGAAACTTGCTAGGTCGCCGAAGGAGGAACGCAGGAGGCCAGAGTGGTGAGGGATTAAGAATTTATTCGATCATCCACACACCAGGTGGCTGACCCTGGATGGCTCCTACACCCAGTGAGGGGAGTCAGCGACTTTTAAAGGACTATTGGCAGGATTTTTCTGGGCAGAGACTTCTTCAATGCATACCCGGAGGGGAGAGAATGGAATGTGGTCACCACAAGTGAAAAGTGGTCTTCAGCAAAGGGAATGTCCATAGTGAAAATGACCTGAAAAGCCAGTTCCAGGGGGAAGGATATCAACTCAATTGCTCTATCAAACCTAACAAAACTCACAAAGGATAAGATCAATAAATTTGACTATAAAATTTTAAAACCAAAATAATTTAAAAGTTTTGTGGCCATTTTAAAAACAAGATCTAAACACATATTGAAAGGGCATAATTGACATAAATATGATGAAATGTGATAGGTTTGTATAGGGTACTCATAGAGTATGATGTATAAGAAGAAATATGGCCAAAGAACATGAATAGACAATTTACAGAAGAGTTTAAGTATGCCTGGAAGACATGGGACAGTATTCATCACTACTAATCAAAGAAATGTAAACTAAAACAACTAGGTAGACTTTTTTTTAAGCCTGTATTTAATAGAATTGAAAAAGATGGTACTTAGTTTGCTAGTAATAGTGTGGTTTGGTTCAACCCTTAAGAAGGCAGTTTGGAAGCCAGCAGGTGTTAATAATCTTTCATGTAGTAAGCCTACTCCCGAGAATGTTTCCTAAGAAAATAATTCAAAATATAGAAAAAACTATTTGTATGAAGGTGTTTATCAGTGTTATTTATTTAAAAAAAAGAAATAACATGATTGTCTAGCAATAAGGAAATGGTGAATCCTCTCCATGGAATATTATGCTGTTTTTTAAAATGATAATTATGAAGACTACAGGGCATATCAGAAAAATACTTATGTGCTAATGAAAAAGCAGATTTTAAAATTCTATGCACACTGCAATGACAATTTTATAAAACACAAAACAAAATGGGGAAAAAACAGATTGATAATGGTGGTTATGATAGGGTGGCAGAATTATTGACTTTTTTAAATGTGTTTCTCTAGTTTTCAAATTTTTTGTAATAACGTTTTGTTACTTTTTGCATTAAAATTTTGCCAAAATAAAAATAGACAAAAAATAGTAACAGCAAATATAACAAATGTTTAAAAACTCTAACTATTCTAATTTACTTTTTAAAACACTAATATTCAGAGAAATGGGCAGAAGACATGAACAATTCACAGAAGAGGAAATAAATAGTAAAAATGCATGAAAAAATACTTAGCATCACTAGTAATTAGAGAAAATGAAATTTAAACATCATATAGACATATATATATTTTCCTCCTACAAAATTTGAGCCAAAGGATGAAAGATCTTTAACTTATAACATCCATTACTCTTGGTAATCTATTCAAAGGAAATAAACCAATACAAAATATGGAAAAGCTTGTGTATATTAAGATGGTAAGTTCTCTCTTACTCAAAATAGCCCCCCGAAAGAAAGGAAGGAAGGGAAATATAAATCTCAACAACAATGGAATGGTTAGGTAGTATACTGAAACATATCCATTTGTTGGGCTATCTATACTAATAAAAGGGTAATATGCTAATTAGACCAGACATCTTCTGGACATTCTTCCAGACAAAGCCACGGTGGTGGGGCTGAGGCAGAGGCAGTTAGGGGCAATCAGGCCAGCAGGGGAGCGCAGTCAGGGGGGTCAGGCTGGCAGGGGAGAGCAGTTAGGGTGATCAGGCCATCAGGGGAGAGCAGTTAGGGCAATCAGGCTGGCAGCTAGGGGGATCAGGCTGATGGGAGAGCAGTTAGGGTGATCAGGCCATTAGGGGAGAGCAGGTAGGGCTATAAGACAAAGCCACGGTGGCGGGGCTGAAGCAGAGGCAATTAGGGGTGATCAGGCCGGCAGGGGAGAGCAGTTAGGGGGATCAGGCTGGCAGTTAGGGGGATCAGGCCGGCAGGGGAGAGCAGTTAGGGCAATCAGGCAGGCAGGCAGAGTGGTTAGGGGTGATCAGGCAGGTGAGTGGTTAGGAGCCAGCAGTCCGGGATTGGAGAGGGTGCAGGTCGGACTGAGGGACATCCCTCCTGCCCCATCCAAGAATTTCATGCGCCGGGCCTCTAGTCTATAATAATAAAGGCGTAATACGCTAATTAGACCAGACAGCCAAACAACCTTCCGGACATCAATCTGGACATCCTTCCGGATGAAGCTGCCACGGTGGGGGCCAAGGCAGAGGCGATAAGGGGAAATCAGGCAGGCAGGTGAGCAGTTAGGGGTGATCAAGCAGGCAGGCGAGCAGTTGGGGGTGATCAGGAAGGCAGGCGAGTGGTTAGGGGTGATCAGGCAGGCAGGTGAGTGGTTAGGGGTGATCAGGCAAGCAGGCAGAGTGGTTAGGGGCAATCAGGCAGGCAGGCAGGCAAGCCATTAGGAGCCAGCAGACCCTGATTGTGAAAGGGATATCCTCCCTGCAGGATCAGGCCTAAACTGGCAGTTGGGCATCCCCTGAGGGTTCCTGGATTACAAGAGGGTGCAGGCCGGGCTGAGGGACCTTCCTCCTCCCATGCACGAATGTTGTACACCAGGCCTCTAGTTATATATAACCATTCCAAATGGTGGCTAGGGCAACTGCATAACAAGAAAAAATGCATATTGTATAATGTTGGCTTTGTTGTTGTTTTTTTTTAACTTTATTTTATTGTTTTGAAGTATTACAAAGAGTAGCACATATGTCTCCTTTTTTTTCCCCCAGTGACCT